GGTACGCTCTTCTCTTCTGTGGCCTAAACACCAGCCCCGTGATTTGCCAGGTAGCATCATCTGGCACAGGGAACCCACAGCCAGAGAAGCCAAAGCACAGAGGGAAGGAAGCAGCTGCAGATTCTCCCATCCCTAGCAGAGCCCTGTACTCAAAAAGGTCCACAGAGGGCTGAATATAGTTTCTTCAGCTCTCAATCAATGTATTATTGCCTTCTGTACAGAAATCCTCACTTTAAAGATTAAAACAAAACTGAGTATCTGAAACAGTCTGTTGTATCCACTTAAAAGTACTGCATTTCTGTTGCTACTACTGTTTCACAAACTGTACTGATGCCACTAGTCAATATGATTTTCACAAGGTCACCCTGATGATCTTAAAAACTTAACTTACAAGTGCTGAAATCCCAAACAGACTCTCAAGACTATGAATGACAACCACCAGATCAGCGGTACTGAACTCTCAGTTCCTCTTTGCTAACTCAATATTAAGGGACCACTGGGTAATCCCGCTGCCAACTCCTCCTGTTGGCACACAGCGGTCCCCACCACAGGGCTGCCAAGCCATTCACAATTTGCAGTAGGTACCTTATACCAATCAGGAGTGACCCCATTTCTACAGACAACTCAAACAGGGAGCAAAGAAATGAACAGTACAAGCAACAGACTGTAGCACTTCTTAATGTTACGTGTATCAGAGTTTAGCATGCGTTAACATTAACCAGCCCTTTGATGGCACTAACCTTATTTCTGCTGTAGTAGTTGTAGCAACAAATGAACAACTTTCCTGGACTTTACCAAAATGACAAAACTGTTCAAATCTGCCATCAAATAAAAGTTTAGACTGATCTTGCAGGCAGATATGAACAGCTTAATTAAACATATTACTATCATCAATTCATCATATTAATTATTTTTTATTTTAATGAAAATAAAATAGTTTTATAACGCTGGCTGATGAAACGTTTAACTAGCTCTTAGTATTACACAAGTACTAGTTTCTAGGCACTGCCTTCGTTTATTTGAGATTCTGTATTTCAATTATAAATAGGCTGCCCTTCCTCCTTTGACTTATTACAGACTCAAGTCAGTAAAATTAAGGTTCTTAAAGTCTATTTATCTAGGGATCAACTATAGCTAAAGCAACTCTACTCCAAATTACTTCCATACTGCTGATTTTCTTATTACACAGGGACAGGTAACCAGTCCCAAACTAATGACAGATTTTAACCAAAACCCATGTTCCTACACTCACCACCTAAAAGAGAAACACACTCTCTCAAGATCAAGAAGAAAATCTTCCCAGGAATCTGATGAATCACTTCACCTCCCTGAATTACGTTCCCCATAGTGAACAGGACTTTAGACTCCTCTGCTAAAATTAGTGAGACTAATTAAATAAGAGTTACTGAAGAACTACGGTCATACATTAAGTGATGACAAGTGCTAAACATATTAAGTGATGACAAGTGCTAAATTAAAAGAAAAGAAGAAAAAAAATCAATATATAAAAAGTTTTTTGAAACAATGGGATGAAAAAAAAAAATCAGTGCCAGAGTATTTCACCTGCAGTCTATTATTTGGTTCAAAGAAACGAGACAAACTTGCTTCCATACTGAGTGACATTATCATAATTGGCATTATGAACTGCCAATTATTTTCTTTCTACATTAGCCACTCACCTGTTAATGAAAAAAAAGTCAATCAAGCATCTTTGAAAGTAAATCCTCCTGACTGCTATGGCTAAGGTGTTCTGTTTTATACTGTGCCTTAGAGATCATTTATTCCTCTACTCAAATTGTTGATCATTAAACATTCCTAGCAGGAAAAAACATTTTGCACAGAACAGTGGTGGTAGAGAAACCACACCGAGGATGTTTTTCCTCTCTTGTCAGGTTCTGCTTAAGATGACTTCACCAGCCGAAAAAACTCAGAATTTCATCTGCGGTCCCTGTTCATAACATTCAATAATCTGGCAGCTCTCAGATAAGTACAGTGTGAATTAGCATGAAGTATGTTTGGAATCAAGGAAAAGGAAAAATGAGGCCTCATAACTGTTTAAAGGCTAACTTATTGCACAAAATGAATCAACCATAATCAACTTTTCTGGTAAAATTAAGACCTTAAGTCTTTTGTTCATAACGTAATGTTCAGATAGCTTCACAGAAATAAGTGTTATTTGCAAGACATTCCAGAATAAAAACTAAAATCAAGTCTCTAACATCAAGACCAAGGTTAGGGAAATCCATTTTGAGTGCCCGTAGTCAGACAGAGCAGAGTAGGGAGCCAATCTAATTCAACGGTGTGGTTTCTTTTTCCTTATCAGAACTATTCAACCACATGGATATAAGAACAAGAGTAATTAAGACACAGAGTAACAGGTTATCACAAATCAGCAACTGACTGTGTGAATGTTCTTAATCCATTGTAATGTGAATCGAAACACATCAGCTTACATCTCAATGAAAGAATTTTAAACATGTTTCACTTCACATTTGCAAGAGGCCACAAACACACATACACATCACAGTTCAGTCTATGATTCTAACTTACTGAGCTGTAATAATTAGTTATCAATTAAATCAATCACCAAGAATTGTATGAAATATTAACTACTTAAGGTGGAAATGTGTGTCTCACTTTGCTTCACTCATCTTTTTTACTTCATGCTTAAACGAATTTATTTAGTACTGATTATTCATATCCATAAAATAATTTTTTTCTTCAAATCTTCTCTATGGTGCATGCAACTACAGCATAAGAATGCACAGCAAACATTATGCATGTTCAAAATACCCCTGAGAGGCACAGACATATTAATATCATTCTACATATAAGGAAGAAACATTAATGTTTTAATAATGCTCTAGATTTTCACCTTTACTGTAATTTTAATTTGTAAAGGTAGACACATCATTTTAATGGTTTTGTGTAATGTAGACACACACATGCAAAGTATATCAAACCATAATGAACATAAACATTTAACTAGTTTGTAAACACCAGTAACAAAGGGAAAAAAAACAAAGAGCACTTTTCATTTGCTTTGAATAGTAAGTAAATTACGATCCAGTAAGAAATTGAGACAGCTTATACAGAAATATATGCAATAACTGTATAACACTATTATCTAATAATATCAAACAATATTTTTATGTTTTACAGGTACAATTTGAATGAACATTGTATTATATGCTCTTGAATAAAAGAAGGAAAAAAGTTTGGAGTTCTTAAATATGTCATTAATAACAACCAGGGATTCAATCGAGCACAGTACTCTGGGCACTTCTTTAAAGGTCAATGTTACTACTGCTGATGTAAATTCAAGGAGCTGTCTAATGTGGGATCTAATGTGCCAGAAAATAATTACCATAAATCAACTGCCTACCTATAATTCAATAAGCTACCACTACCAAATGGGAAGCCTTCCACACTTTCCCGAGGCTCACAAGACTCTCATTTGGGATTTCCTGGCTACAAATCCACACCTATACACCATGCTGTACATGAGCAACAAATCTAATACATCTGGGATATGTATCAGACCTACTGTACATTATTTGCATTTACACACATGCAGTAAGTGCAGTCTGTCCCAGACAGACTATACAATTTAAGAGCAAGAAGCTCAGTATAGCCCATTTTATCAGATTCACTGAGCATGGGTTTTTTCCCCCAAGACCTGCAGGCATCAAACAATCCCAGACAAATGGGTCATTTCCTATGACGGAACTTCCAAATGACAAAAGGAAAGATGTCCAGACACACTCAGATATATGGCAACTAAACCTCTGCATTAGTCAGTTCACAGTTTGAGAAACGGTCAAGAACAGTTTGAGAAATGGAGACTCACAGTCATTAGATTCATATATACAGTGTGTGAAAACACACTTTTGTAAGATAATAGGAGTTAAAAGTTTTCCTATTCCACTCTTTTGGCAGTGATAATAGACATTCTGGTTTAATGCAGTGCTGACAGTTCTAGAAAAGAGAAAACTCTCCTGTGTTATGTCAATGACAATCATTTCAGATTAATTACATGCTGGTTTGGGTTAGTTTGGTTGGGGTTGTGGAGGGTGGGGGTGTTGTTCACTTGTTTTTTTAGTTTTATGCATACAGTAACACTTGCTGAAGTATGTAATTATATTAGTAACAAATAAAGTATATATAGTAATTTCCCAACAGTTTAAAAGACATTATGACCTACCATTCCCAGAAGCCTGTTTGGCTATTTTTTAAAATATGCCATGTGGAAAAAAAGTGCTAGCTATCTTGCAGAGTCTGCTAGTGTGAGATGCAATCAGAAAGCCCTTAGAAACAGTAATAAGTGAATAAGAGATTTTAAAAGATCCACTTTTAAAAACCAAATTTGCAGAGTGATAAATCTATTTAATTGACATCTTTCAGAAAACATTGAGGAACTGAGGTTCATTATCAGAAGGCCATGAATCAAAAAAATATTCTGAAATTTCTGCCCTTTTTCTTATCACTTCCATCTCTGTCAAGTCACATCTATAGACAAGTTTGAAGCAGGAAGAATAATACATTTCTAATAAATAACTTTGTCCTCTGTGATCCCAAAGGCAAAGAAGGATGCTGACTATATTTCTATTTTTACACCCTCATCACCTAAAACTCAGCTGCTGAATCATTATAATTACAGTATCATCATATTATTAGCTGAGTATTATATTATTATATAGCATATTATGATACTAGTTATTATTACACTACTGTCTCAATCTATTTGGAGCTAAAGGCATTCTTGCAATTTGGAAAGGTGCTAAGTGTCCATGTAGCAATTTGTATTCACCGAACTCCCCTTTGATGGGGATGTTGGGTCCTCAACTTTTGCCTTATTTGACAAGATAAATTAACCCTTTTCATATAAACATGGGAGATTAGTGCTTCAACAAAAACAACAAAATAAGGGGAATAAAACTGCCTGTATCCCATCCTCTAGCACAGATTCAGGCATTTTGAAGTCAGTAAAAAGCACTTACCACACCAATTCCTTCAAAAGCAAATATTGCAGTCCCAAAAAACAGTGGGTATTTCTTCCAGCCAACCACAGGAGGCAGTTTTCGAGGATCTACTATATCCTAAAGAAAACAAACCAAAACAGTGCTATGTAAAGTGCACTAGCGGTTCCTATAATTTTGATTGATGCGTTATGCTATAGGAAAGAAAACTCAGTACATGTTGACAGTGGTATATACATTGCTACTTACAATCCCTGGTTTTCCTCCCAAACTTAGTCCTTTACACACATTTATAGCCACCTTCCTACACACACACACCCCCCTGCAGATATATTTATTCTATGTTCATATTACTGACACTAGAAATTTTCACACTGAAAGTATCACACTGGTGTATATGAGCGAGCACCAATTAAAGTAAAAGGGAAAGCTCACACCTCAAGCTTAATCTTCTGCAACATTCTCAGGATATCGCATTTTCTAATCTGCTTTCATACAGCACAGATATCCTCCATAACCATAAGGGACAGTAAAAGAAAATCTTTTTAATACAAGCTGAGTTCCTGCAGAACAATTAATTACTCTCTATCTCCCCCAGTCTTTTCTATGTAACTTCTCCTGCCTCCTCACCCAGCCAATACCTCTCGCTGGCTTTTCTGCCTTCCTTCCCATCCTCTGCTTCCCACTCATCTCATAACACTCATGCGAAAGCTGTCTCAAACAATGGTGGCACTCACCACTTATCAACATTGTGTGTGCAACAGCGTCTATCACTTGGCACTTTTCAAAAATCATAAGACAGACAAATGTAGACGTTTCTACGTGTGGGGTTTTTTTCAGCCATCAGTTTAATTTGTTCCATTATGAAATGCCTCCAAATACGAAAAACAGCAGCAACCGAGAAAACACAGCATCGATTCAACTTCTCAGGAGATGGAAGTCTACAATATGTATTCTTAAAGGTTAAGTCTTAAATTTTTCCTGACTGTACTGCAGAAACACTAGAAATAAACATTGCTGTTGAAATTGTTCTTCTGTTGCAACAAAAAGATTGACCACAGATTAAAACCTTGTAAGTTCTCTGTGCAACCCATAAAAATACACGTATTCTTCCACTCAAGGACTCCCAAGTCATTACAATACATATTTTTATTACCTTAAATGCAGCAATACTATACTTTCTTTCAAAAGTACTGTAAAAGTCCGTGTTTAAAGCATGTCTCAAGTATTAAGGCACCTCCTTAAATTAAGATGCCTCAATTAAATACAAGATAATTCTGCCTTTCAGAAATTGTCAGTCAGTATATATTTATCAGAGACCAACTGCCACATGCAACAAATATAACTTGCCACACTGAAAAAAAAGATAATAAACTTTTTTATACTCACTCTAACAATATACTGGTAAATGATCACCAGGCTGACAGCCATGGACAGATTGGCAAGTGATGAAAGGAAGGACAGGCTCTTAAGGTCACGAATAAAGACCAGGAGGATCATGAATGGCAGGAAACACAGCATGTATATTCGTAAATCAGTACTCCTTTTCTCAGAAGAACTGCTGGTGGCATTGACATTTATGGGAGCAGTCTTATTTTCGAAGAATCCTTCGTGGACCTGTAGGAAAAAAAAAAACCAAACAACCAAACAAAATGGGTTAAACAGTGGTAGCACCAAGTCTCTGTATACAGTCACATCGCTGTTTTTCTATAGGGGAATTTTCCTCTCTGCTTTACCTCCTATTTCTCCCCCTGGTTTACCTGCTGAGTGTCAGGCATTTCAGGACCCCTGTACTCTCAGTGCAGAGGGGAAGACAAGGCACTTCCAGCAAGTGTTTCACCCTTAAGACAAATGATGAAATCAGGACCTGAAAGACCTGAAAGCGTCTTTATCCCATCACTGACTAGAGGAAATCCACATGAACAGTTTAGATCAGAGTCCTTTCAAAAAGTGAGTTTGGTAAAATGAATGCAAGCGAGATGGATCTAGGCCTAAATATTAGAGTTTGAATTTTCCTAAGGAGAGTAAGTGGGTTTGATGACCAACTGCGATTGTACCCGAGTTCAGTGCCTAACAACCTTATGCCTTTGCCGTGCAAATCATAGCAGCATACATACAAAATAACATTAGAATATGAACCTGCCTTTCTTTTAATTCAAATTATTTTCTTTTTCACTCTTCACTCTTTTATTAATCAGCATTAACTCAACTTTAAAAACTATGAGCTCTGAGAGAGAGTCCTGTATCCATTAAATTGATATAAATTAATGCCTATAGATAAACAGTAGTACACAATGTGGAAGTGTACTAGGTTTTTTGTTTATAACATTACAATAGTTGCCTAAGGTGCAATTCAGAAGAGTGAGTTTGGCACTATTCACAACTCTCATTGCTTCTTTTGGAAAAATGTTCATGTGGCCGTAACTGCCAAAATTTGTTTTGTGGAAATATATTCTGTGCTATGTGCACACCGCGATCAAAATGTCAACAGCTGGTGGTTATTCTGCTTGCTGCAAAATAACAGTTCAAATCCATTTGCTTTAAATCTTATCATGCCTTTTCCCTAGGAGTGTATCCTTTCCTTTTCCCGACCATTGCATTCGCCATCTTACAAATCAGCACATGACTGTGCTTAATCTGTTCATGCTACAGAAAGCCTCTGGCTTGATGACTATTAAGATACTGAGACAGTGGGGAAAAAAAAAGGTTCCTTATAGCACAGACTTACACAAAAATGGGAAATCAATATATAACAAAACAACTGAAGACAATACTCTGACTCCTAAGTACTGTCAGACAACCAACTACTATAGCCACAGTCTTAGAACAGGACTCAGAGGAAGACTGTATAACCCTACAATCCCAGGAAGTGTACAAGTGTAGCAATGCTTAAATATTATTATCCTTATCATATAGTTCACAGGCATGGTCCCAGGACTGATTAATTTATGGGCAACTCTTTCAACATGGTTTGTTCTTTAAAATGTCAGTTATTATCTGTGCAAGTGAAATAATAAGATCATAGATCCTGCCTCAAAAATCCAAACACATTAAGCTGTTACAATAAAAGGGGTAAGTATTACCATTACCATGATTACAGTGTAAATGCCACAGCAGTCCTAAGCAAACATCACAATTACTAGTACTTAATGGCATCTATTTTATTTTATAGGTCACAGTAACTCAGGGCTATTAATTTTTTTACTTTGAGGAAAAGGACAAAGTGGAGAAAAGAGGATAGGCTGGAGGTACAGCTGGCAATCAAGGGATCATTGGGACTGCGATACTTTCCTGAGGCAGAGGGAGGTGACTGATAATGTAAAACCAAGTGCATGTAAACCAAATCATTCAAATTGGCAAGTCTGCCAAAACTCAGACTTTACAAGTCTAGAAGGGGAAAAAAAAAATTAAACAATTCACTTTTTTTCCATTGTTTCAAACAATCCACAAACTCAGGAAGACAAAATTAACTTAAAATTCTTTCCTCTGTAACAAAAAGCACGAGGCACATTTTTTCGTTATGAAAAAGGGAAAGATAAAAAGGCATTTCATAATTCTGCAACCACACATTTTCCAGAAATCTCACTTTAAATGAAAACAGGGGGCACCAGTCATTACAGAAACACTGAGGATTCCCACCTTGCAAGAATCTTAAGTGTCACTTACAAGACATTTAACATCTCTTAGTTTTCATTAAGATAACATTTTTAGAAAGCTACAAAGAAGACCTAAATACATTCAGAACTGAATTCCAGCGAATTCACGCAGCTACAATAACTCCACTTTGCCAAGCAATATGTCAAACACTTAATCAAATTACTTCCCTAATGCCACATGAAGTAAAGCTTTCTGTAGAAGTTTCCTAGTTTCCCACCATACTTAAAATAGAAATACAGAACCACCACTTTAACAGCCTTCACTTTAACAACAGGCTCATCTGTTTACTTGCTTGCATGCATTTGCAGGTAGCCAGAACTGCTCTGCACTCAGTAAGAGGGTTTTTTAAGAATTACAATGTGATTTGAGCATGTAAGTTCCATTGAAAACCTCAGCTACAATAAATATTTAACCTAGCATGCCTTCAATTTATACAAATATCTGTGGCCTGATGAGCTATTAGGAAAAAAAAAAAACAAAACAAAAATTATTCCTTAAAAAAAACCAAACCAGCAGCCATTAGAACCTATATCAGGTTCTAAAATACATTTTTAAAATCCCACAGTATAAACCAGCTTCTACCCAAATCATTTCAAGCATTTGACCACTTCAGTTTTCTCTTAAGACAGAGGCATTTCATTTGTATACACAAACCCCAATAAAAAGTTCCTAAAATCAGAAATATTTGTTTTTTTTCTATTAACACCACTAAATTCCAACTAGATATTCAGCCGGAGTTTACTGGCTAATACAGCTGGAAAATGCAATGTACAATACACGATATAATTCTATTCAAGTTTAGGTGTACCATTATCAGCTACCCTGATGATGGGCTGACGATGAAATCACACCTCCATGTTGTGTTACATGTGTGGTCATACAAAATAGCTTTTATAATTATCTGCCTTTTATTTTCACAAAAATACTGAGGAAAGCGCACAAAGAAAGAACATACTACAGCTGCGCACAAACTCTCCACAACCATCATTAGATGAATGAACATTGATGCAGAATTGTCAAAACACAGCCAACTAAAATTATCAGGCTGTGACTCCCCGACCCTATCTTCCCACCTCCCATTTGCAAGTTTCAGATATGAGTTATATTCCCACAATAAACCACAACACTGTAGTCTGCTTTACAATACTGTAAGCATGGTACCCCTTCTCCCTGCACTCTTCCCTGCCCCAGCATTCACCAGAGGAAGGAAACAGAGGCCAAATAGATTCGCAAGAATTTCACGACTTGCAGGAACTTGCATCAGATCCTGTTCCTTGAAGTTTAAAGAAAGTCAGGGCATCAAAGATATGCTAGCTGGGATGAAAAAAAAAAAGAAAAAAAATGAAATTATGAACTTGCTCAGCACATTAATGTTTTGAGTAAACCAGATTTGCAATCACAGTCGTCTTAGTCCCAGCTATGAAAAGCACCCACTTCTCCTACATTCTTAACCCAAAAGCTGCAATTCTAGGTATGGAACAAATGCCAGTTCCACAAAATTCACAAAGCCTTCCTGATGCCCCTTCCTCTCTTCCACACCATCTCTCATTTCAGTCACTTTGACTTGTCAAGTCTCCTATCTACTACACAAAACATTGTATTCTCAACAGTCTTCTCCATTACCTCATCCCAAATTGGAGGTTTGGATTCACTGAATCATAGACTAATTTAGGTTAGACGGGGCCTCAGGAGGGTCTGTAGTCCAATCGCTTGCTCACAGCTCCATCAGCTATGGGGTCAAAACAGATTGTTCCTCTCCCCGCACTCCAGCTGGGTCTTCAAAACTTCTAAGGATGGAGACTGCACAACTTCTCTGGGCAACTGGTTCCAGTGCTTGACTGTCCTTAAGTTTTTCTTTACCTCAGGTCAGAAACTCCTGTATTATTTTATGACCACTTTCTCTTGTCCTCCCACCTGACCTCAGGAAAGAGCTTGGTTCCATTTTCTAGACAACCTCTTTGCAGTCCTGGGGGGCTGCTGTTAGTTCCCCCAAAAGCAAGTTCTTCTCCAAGCAGAACAAGACCAGTTTCCCCAGCCCTCACAGGGCAGGTGCTCCAGCCCCAATCATTTCAGCAGCCCTCCCCTGAACTCACTCCAGTTTGTCAATGACTTTCTGGTACTGGGGATATCCAAAACTTGACAGAGTATTCTAGATGTGGTCTAACAAATGCAGAGTAAAGGATGATTATCACTTCCATCAATCTACCAGCAATTCTCTTGTTCATACAACCCAGGATGCTGTTGGTTTCCTTTGCTGTCAGAGCAAACTGCTGGCTCATGATTATTACCACTACCCTCTGAGCCTTACCATACAACCAGCTTTTTTTTTTCCCCCAGCTGGCTGTCCATCCATCCATCCAGACCACAACAGCCTTACTTGCATACAAGGATACTGTCAGAGACAGCGTGAAAAGCCTTGCTAAAGTCAAGGTGACATGTAGTGCTTTCTCATTATGTACAAATTCAGACTTTTTTCTTATAGGAGGCAATCAAGTTGGTCAGTCCCTTGGTAAATCTATGCTGACTGGTTCCAGTCACCTTATTGTCCCTCATGTGCCCAGAAATGTGCTCTAAGAAGACTCAATCCCCTCAATCCCTGATTTTCAATGGGATTGAAGAGAAGCTGACTGGCTTGTAATTCTCCAAATTATTCTTTTGGCCTTTTATGAAGGTAAGTACAACATTTGCCTCTCCTCGGTTCTCAGGGACCTCCCCCATTCTGTATGGTCTTTCAAAGACTTCAGGTTTCTCCCAGCACTTGTGGGTACAGCCCCCCTGGTCCCAGACTCCCTCTTTTCTCTTTGTCTTCAGAGCACAGCAGTGACACTGCTTTAGCCAGACTTCCACAGTATAAAGCAGGGTAATTCCTTACTCTCTTCCCACCTTTGTTCTGTGTGATCACAGCTGTCATCATATAAAGGTATTTTGCAACTCTACTCAGAAAATGGAACAAACCTTAT